CTATAAATATATATAAAATACATAATACATCCAGAATTAAGAACAATACTAAAAAAGGAAACTCCAAGAAGATGGAAAATTGGGCTGCAGACAGCTGGCCACTATGGGGCTAGCCATCCCCCTGCTTGAAGTATTCCCTCCCCACCCTAGGCCAAATGGCAGAACCAGGATAGGAGGTAGAGAAGTTTCTTGACAAGAACATGGATGCCAGTCAATCAGCACTACGCCCATTTAGCTTCTGTGGCAGATTTGTAGAGCTGGCCTTTTCAAAGCAGAACCCTGATACTTTGATTATAACAATTCATTGAAAATTCCAACATTTACATTTGCTCCGCCCCCCCAAATCTCAAAACTAAAGTTGATGCAAGATAAATAAGCAGGAATCACCATCTAGCCAACGGTGGCTGACTCCCCAAATTGAGCAGGGTTGGGCCTGGTAAGTACTTGGATGGGAGACAACTATGGAATCCAGAGCTTTAGGATAAACTGGAAGTTGAAAAAACATTATGGAAGAAGAGAGTAGCAGGCCACTTCTGCACTGCTGCCAAGAACATTACATTGATGGAACTGAATTTGACTTGAGGAGACTGTTTTTTGTGAAAACATTATTTTTTTCTGAAGGACAATGAAGGAAGGAATTTATCATTGTAAATATTCTTGTTTGCTTAGTCATTCACTTTTCTACACACTACTCACTTGCAACAATTCACACTCTCTTCTAAATACATAGTGATATATAATGAATGTTTTTTTAACTTGCCTGCGAATGACAATCACACTACAAGGATTGATAAAACTACATATTTGTTAGAGATCAAAAGAAGAGAGCTACTGGCTATCTCCAGAATAATTACCAGTGTATTCTATGGCACAAGAAGAAAAAATTAAGGATGTACTTTGTGCCTGAAATATATAAATCTAGCTTCACAAGCAAACAGCAGGTGAAAATCCAAGCAACTGGTGTTACTATGATCAAATTCAGGAATGTAGCACTTGCTGCTCCCATTAATGAGAAATGTTTCTCAATCTCCCTTATCCTTTAGATTAACATATTGAATAGTACAGATATAGAATTAGACAATAGGTTTTTCAAAGTGAATTAAGGAAAATGTATGAATCACCAACCTGATGTATATATCTGTGATAGAACGGGTGCGTTATAGAGGAAAATGAGGAAAAGAGGAGTAAGTACATGCTGTGTGCCAATATTGATAAAATTATGTCTGTGTATTGGTCTACAGTTCTGAGCTGTCCCTATTCTGATGGCCTGTAATTGAACTGAGGGTCTGTAGCTGGTCTCCCACACCATACTACATCCCATATCAGTGTTAAAGGCTTTGTTCATGTAAGGCAATTGTTCCGTTCACAGAACATGATATGTCTAACTAAACCATATATTCATGCAATGTGCTAAGGCAATGGCTTGGTTCCCACAGCATACTGAACCACAAACCATCCATCCTACTTAAGTCCACTCTACCTTGTTTTGCAAACTCAGCCTCTTAGTAAAAATGGCAAGTGTTGAAATGTTAGGATGAACTTAAATCTGTTTACTTTTGTTCACTTTATTCTTTACTTTATCTGGCAACCAGAATTTTTCAAGTTTACTTGGAAAGGATTTACAATGTTTTAATGTTATATATCAATGTAATTGATATAACCTATCAATCTGCTAAGTAGTGTTCTTCATATAGGGAAAATGTGTATTTTTGTTTGTCACCAATGTCAGTGTTACCTAAAACACAGTATGTACTGTTATCATTAAACTGTATCTGATGGAAAAGTAATATATTTCAAATATTACTAAATTATATTTAAAATCTGTTTTATTTGGTAAATGTTAAATGTTATACAGATAATAGGAGTATGTTCATTTTCCTTTCCTTTATTCCAGTAAAATGTTTTAGTAATTTGCCCAAGAATGTTGTATTCTGACTTTTTTTTTTAACCTGTTCAATCATGTCCGATTCTCAGAGGTTGCCTGGACAAGTCCCTGCAGTTTTCTTGGCAAGGTTTTTCAGAAGTGCTTTGCCATTGCCTCCTTCCTAGGGCTGAGAGAAAGTGACTGGCCCAAGGTCATCCAGCTTGCTTTGTGCCTATGCAAACTCACAGTCTCCTGGTTTCCAGCCTGATGCCTTAATCACTGCACCAAACTGGCTCTCATTCTGACTTACTAAACTCTCTGAAGTCTCATTACAATCTAGCTATCTTTCATTTCAGTAACTGAATATCTGGGTGGGTAACGGCCCTTACAACTCAATTACCAAATATTGTATTAGTGCACATTTAAAGTGGTAAAGGTGCTATAAACGTACAGTGCTATAAATGTTAGGAAAGGTTTGGCTTGGATCTTTTAAATGCCATTATACAGAGGACGCGTTCTTTCCTCGGTGCAGTTTGCAGGGCACAGAGTCCCTAGACTGCAGAGCAGATTATGCCCAACCATGCAATGCTGTATATGGAAAACAACGGGCCAGACGCTATTCAGCGCTACAGCATAAAAGCCACACCAGGATAAACGGATGTTAAGATTTTGGGTGGGGTGAGGGGGAACCTTTTGTAGGTGCTATGCCTAGCTCTTTATTCATAACTGCCATCCGGGTTTATCCTGCATTATTGAACCCTGCATCAAAAAGTAATCCCGTTTATTGCAGGGAAGAGTCTTAGGGGCAGCTTAATATAAATGGTATATAATTTATGTCTACTTTCAGAACATTTTTCAAAATTTCGCACAGATGAAAGGACCCGAACTAGCAACCAATTTCTACTTTAGATTATCGGAAGAGTCGCTGAGCGAGTGCAAGCGGAGCGCGTTAGCATAATGAATTCCTCCAAAGGGAACACTCTGGAACTGCTCCAACACCGTCACTTTCCTCTGTAGGCCGAAGAGGAATAGAAATGATTGAAAAGTGACCCTGTTACCTGATTGGCGGCCGCGAGGGTGTGCAGCGCTGACGCAATTGGCTGCCGGGGGCGCTCGCCAGAGGGGGAAGAGACCTCCCGCTCCGGGTTAGGATTGGCCTGCGCGGCGTGACGGGCTTGGCTACTTCCATCCGGGGCGGAGGAGGGCCGCTGTCTCTCCCCGCCTCCGCCTATGCCGGCTCCGTGCGGCTAGTTCCTGCTTTTTCATTCCTCGGGGTGCCTGCCGGTTTGCCTGCGTGCTTGCCTTGCTTTCGGAGCAGCCACGGTGAGAAGGAAG